CATACTGCCCCCCATACACACACATTGCCCCCATACACACACACTGCCCCCCATACACACACACTGCCCCCCATACACACACATTGCCCCCCCATACACATACACTCTACACACATACACTATCCCCATACACACACACTGTATGGACTCAGCAGTCTGTGTGTGTGTATGGACTGAGCAGTCTGTGTGTCTGTGTGTGTGTGTGTGTATGGACTCAGCAGTGTGTGTGTATGGACTCAGCAGTGTGTGTGTGTGTGTGTGTGTATGGACTCAGCAGTCTGTGTGTGTGTATGGACTCAGCAGTATGTGTGTGTGTGTATGCACTCAGCAGTCTGTGTGGATAGACTCAGCAGTCTTTGTGTGTGTGGATGGACTCAGCAGTCTGTATGTGGATGGACTCAGCAGTGTGTGTGTGTGTGGACTCAGCAGTCTGTGTGTGTATGGACTCAGCAGTCTGTATGTGTGTATGGACTCAGCAGTGTGTGTGTGTATGGACTCAGCAGAGTCTGTGTGTTTGTGTGTGTGTATGGACTCAGCAGAGTGTGTGTGTTTGTGTGTATGGACTCAGCAGAGTGTGTGTGTACGGACTCAGCAGAGTGTGTGTGTACGGACTCAGCAGAGTCTGTGTGTGTACGGACTCAGCAGAGTCTGTGTGTGTGTATGGACTCAGCAGAGTCTGTGTGTGTGTATGGACTCAGCAGTCTGTGTGTGTGTGTGTGTGTGTGTATGGACTCAGCAGTCTGTGTGTGTGTATGGACTCCACAGTCTATCAATAATTAAAATTCCTGTGAGTTATTGTGTAGGAAGGGCCCCAGTGCATTGCTTTGCCCAGGGGCCCTTAACTCTGTTAAAATGGTACTGCTTGTGTGTGTCAGTGAGCTTCTATTTAGTGAGCATGTGTGTGTCAGTGAGCTTGTCTTTAGTGAGCTTGTGTGTGTGTCCCTTAACTTCTTTGTAGTGAGCCTTCTGTTTATACAAGTGAGTGTCTGAAGTAAGCTTGTGTGTGAGTCAGAGAGTTTTGTCTGTCAGTAAGCCTATTTGCGCATGTCAGCTTGTGTGCTTACTGTACTATATATATATATATATATATATATATATATTTTGACTTGTAGGAATGGCATACGTTTTTTTTCCGGGGCTGCTTTGGATTCCCAGGGATTCCCAGTTTGGCTCTGCCAGCGAGTGCACTTTACCGCTGAATAATCTGTGTGAGCAGCCGCACACTTTAGCCCTGTTACACGCGTCTGGGAGCTGCTGTTGACAGGTACTAGTAGTCTAGAGATTGGGACATGGGGTATATGCTCAGCTATCTGTATAATACAAATTTGTGTGTATATCATATCCCGGGATAGTCAGTGCTTCCTGTATAGTGCTGCTCTTATACACAAACAGACCTGTATTATATAGAGAGCAGCACTATAGAGGGAGCACTGAGTGTCCCAATTTATTATACACACAACCCTGTATTATACAGAGAGCACTGACTGTCCAGGGATATTATACCCAGACAGTAATTGATAGCTGTGCTGCAAAATGTCCTTGGAAATTTTTTTTCAAATGTTGGCAACTATGGCACTGTATCAAGGATAATGCGTTTGCTTTTTTAATAATCCCTGGGGGAAAATAATTAATTCTCCACCAGGTATTATTAAAAAAACAAAACACATTGTGTTGGGGGCGTGGCTTAACATGTGACAGGGGCGGGGTCAAACTGCGGCGAGGGCGGGATTAAATGTGCCCCCCTACTTTTCTCCCTGGCCCTCCATGTGCCCCCCCATAAAATTAATCCTAGAGACACCACTGGGAACAAGGGATGCTGCGGAAGGAACCTTAACTGGGGGTACCTTCCCAATATTACAACCAGGCAGTAGAAGGGGTGCTGTGGGGAGACGCTCGGAGCTGGGCTGTAACGGGTATTGTGCCCAGGGTAGTGTTCTGATGGGTGCCTTAGCAGGTCAAGAAGGTGCGCTCAGTGAACGAACTCCAGGATTCTCATGCTGTCACAAGTCGTGTATGGACGGGAGTGGAGCAGCGGGCCCCTATACGATGGGCTGTATGGCACAGGGTGGAGGGCCCTTCTGCTCCACGGTTCCCCAAGGTGAATTCTCTTCAGAGGGATGGCGATGGTCCGCGGGTTTCCAGGCAGCCGATTGATGGATCACAGTGAAGTTGGCATACCGGACATAAAGTGGGCTTGTGTGATGGATGTACGACAAGCAATTTCGGCAGCGCCTGTCGGCTAACCCGGATATGAGGTGGGCCAGTTGCCACTGGGCACAACTCCGGTGAGGCTTGGTGAGATGATATTGTGGCTAAGCCATTACAGTAACAAGGAGGATGCAGAATTGCTAAAGTTGACTTTCCTGCAGGGGGATTTTATTCCTATTTGGGAACAGGAAGTTTGAGAGGGGAGGTTTTGGAATTTCGGGACCCCCCATTGGCTAGGCTGAGGTGGTCACCACTGGGGATTGTGCCGAAGAAAGAACAACAACACATGACATATTACACTGTGTCATGATTTATTTTACAAAAGTAAAGCCAAAACAGAGACGACATGCAGGAAAAACTAAGTACACCTTGTGATTATATAGGTTGTAGAACCACCTTCCTGTCCCTAAGCAGAGGACCCCAGAGCGAGAGAGCCACAACCAGCGGGAAAAGTTTGAGAAAGGCCAAGTTGCGCATCACTGGACTATCCAACCACAATGCCAATCATGGTTCTGCACAAGACCTGCCTCCGAAATACGCATTTTTGAAATGTTTTAACTTTTTTTTTTTACTGTGGATTGTTTCTTTAAGAAATAGATGTATTCGCAAAATCAGGAGCAACAGTGAAGACAATGAAGTATTTTTTATACATAACTTCCCAAATGAGTTTAGCTGTAATGTTAACGCTTCCCCTGCCAGATAATCATTCTCACACTCATTAAACCAGGCACAGCTGTGTTTAGGGAGGGGTCCTGGCTATAAAGCTAATCACTGATGGTGTTGATGTTATACAGAGTTATCTGGACACCTTTACTGATCTACACAAGCTAGAGAAAACAAGTAGGATCTTTGCTGAGAGATTTGGGAGCTTGGTTTCTGATCTCTCTGTGATAATGGATACACCAGGTAAGCGATACCTGTAGATTAAAGTAAAGTTTAAGGGATGCTAAACAAGCCTACTCTCTAATTGTGGTGACTTTGATCAGAGATTGTTTGCTAGTTTCTCCATGGTTTAGTAGTCTTTCCTCACTGATGATCTCCACTTACTTTTAAACTGTGTCTTTTATAATATTGAGGAGCTGATGCATCAAAACCTGTTTCTCTTTATAGCTGACCATTTCTATAACACTCTTGGTAGCTCCTCGCTGACTCTCTGCTACTGTTTTGTTTAGTATCCTGGATGACCACCTTCTATCAAACTCTCTGGATTAATATCTTACAGGTTTACTAACTAAAGTGACAAGTGTCTGCAACTCATAATGTTTTCAAAAGTAGCAATACTGAAATCTCACTTAACGCCGTAACCCTATTCCTGTCTGGCTTTCTTGAATGTAGCACTTGCTCTCACTTTAAATTCCAGATAAACTGAAACGCTGGAAATATTTCCTCCCAACTGTCACGACTCTAGAAAAAACTACTTATTTTGGGCCCTGCCACTTGAGTGTAGTCCGTAACGAAATTACTCCATTCCCACCAGTGTCATATTCTGGGACTGCTAATGGATGGGATGCAGCTTCTATCTTCACAATCACTGAAGTGGTCATGGTGGTTGGTTTAACCTTTTAAAGGAACACTCCATAACTAACACAGCTGGGTGTACTGGTTTTGTTGGTTGATGTCTCTCTAAGTGGAGTTTGAACCGCATGCTGAGAGTAATTTCCGGATGCCAGGAAGCAATACTAGGACAGGACTTTAAAAGCGCCTTGGCCTGTTGGGATATATGGGAAATGTAGGGTTGAAATGCAAATTATTCATGCTGGAACTACTTCTCATCACTGCTTAGTAGTAGTTAAACTGCAGGTGGGAGTGTTGTCAATACTACATTGGCTGTGAAATGACTGCTAGCCAAGTGTTACTAACAGAGTGCCAAGTGGTTTCTCAAATCCCTCAGTCTAACTTTGGCACAATACTATTGTAGGCTCTCCTAATGGGAATTGGGAGCCTCCTCTGTTCTCTCCACATGTGAAGTTTGTCTTCTAACCGGAATCGTGTATGTTGCTGTTTCAGACTTGTGACAGCTAAATAGACTTCCAGCTAGAAACCTTCAGTTCTGTAAATATGAACTTAGTCTTGTCTGCATCACTGTCAATCTTGATATAATCTCGCAATAGACTTTCTCTAAGACTGTAATCTAAAAACCTGCTCTTCAAGAAGTGAACTATATAATCACTCTGGAACCAGGATAGGCAATCTAGATGTTGTAGATTAAATCTCCCCTGATGCTCTGCCAGCATTCTGGGAAATGCACTCCATAACATCTGAAGTGCCAAAGATTACAATATCTTATGGCACAAACCCCATGTTGTAATTTCATAATGTTGTATTATTGACTGTCTGATAGTGGCTATAACCTTCTATTTACTTCCAGATACCATCATGTTTGCTGTGAAGGATTATGTTGCCAGAGCTGGATTACCTCCTAAAGATCGTTTGGATAGCTTTGAGGCCAGATCAAAAATTGTAGGAAAGCTGAATAATGTCAGCAAGTTTGCCTTTAACCCAGAAGGGGTGCTGTTTGCTGTGCGTGGTACAGAGCTCTTCACGGGAGCTATGCCTTCAAATCCAAACCTGGACTGGTTCTCTACTGCCAAGAGAGTTGGAAAATCTGACTGGGATAGGTTTAAATTTGTCTTCTTTGATTCAAATGGTCTTCTGTATGCAGCTACCAAGAATGGGGAGTTCTACAAGGGTCCAGCACCAAGCAATGAAAACGTGTCCTGGCTTTATGGCCAAGCCACCAAAATAGGAACCGACGGATGGAATGACTTTTACGCCCTTTTCTTCGACCCTAAAGGCATCTTGTATGCAGTGACAAAGGATGACAAGCTTGTGATGAGAAGCCCTCCAACCAAAGCAAATGATGAATGGCTTCGCTCCAGCACAACTATTGGAAATGGAGGCTGGCGCATCCTGACCCATTTCATGGCTTTCTCCCCAGAGTTTGACCTGTGGTGTGTGTGGATTCAATGAATGGCAAAATCTATAAAGGTCAAGCCCCGACCGTTGATAATACCAGCTATCTGAACGCACAGAATCTGGGCTGGGATTACAATCAGTACCCCCTCCTTTCCTTCACAATTGATAAAACAATCCTGAGCATTGTGAGCCTTGAATTCCTTCCAGATTCAGGGAAAATCCTATCCCAAGGCACAGAGGTGGTGCAGAGCCAGATCTATGTGAACAAGAGCAGCACTCCATTAAAGCACACCTTCTCGTGAGTATAACCATATAATGGGGAAATATGCACCGTGCATAAACTGCTGCCCCATGCAGGGGCAGACCTACAATGCTGCCCTGTGACCGGGGTGCATGACGGCCATATGGTGCGCCGCAGCTTGCATGGTGCAACAACCTGGGCAGCATGTTCAAGAGCCGATCAGGTGACCCATGCTCTGTATCTGCATGAGTCATGCTATGCATCTAAATGCTTGTCGGGAAGTGTCTGTCTGTATCAGTATGTGTATGTTATACAGTGTAACTGTCACCCCACCACTCTAATTTCCCCAATCCTGTCTTTCACTCATGCCATACTCTCCCTAGAACACTCCCCTTCTCCAGTATGGTCACTCAGCTGATCACATTAACCCCTCCAATTCTGTCATAATCCTCCCCCCAACCATGCCACTCACCCTGTGGGGCATGAATCATTCATGGATGGGGCATTATGTGCATTCTTGCTTTTAGGTTCTCAAAGACCATGACTGAGAGCAGCACCTTCAGCCAGCAACATGGATTCACAGTATCTGTTGGTGCAGAGATGAGCTTTAAAGCTGGAGTCCCATTCATAGGAGAAACTGAGTCAAAGATTTCCATCAATATGAGCACAACTCATACCTGGAACTTCTCCAAGACCAATGAAACACAGGTAAAAAGTTTATACTCTGAATGTATAACCATTCACCTTTTTTGCAAAACCACCAAAACTGTAAACTCTGATGCTTTGTGACCCACTACAAAGATTGAGCTCTCCCTTTAAGGAATACCCATCTCATTCACTTGCCTACTAACCTTCCTGCCAGAGATCGTAATGTGGCCACCAATGTTCTAATACAGCAGTAGGTAACCTTCAGCACTCCTGATGTTGTGGACTACATTTTGCTTGCAAATGAGGTGAAGTTTAGTCCACAACATCAGGAGTGCTGAAGACTGCCTACCCATGCTATAAAGCATTCTCCCGCAAAACCAATGGGACCTACCTTTTCCAAGCACTACTGGAAATGAGGGAAGTCTCTACATTGAGATTTCAATAAACGGAACACCATATCTAGAAGTACTTCAAAAGTCTGTAAATGACAAACCTGTGTACCTGACCAAATCTCTTGGCATGTTTGCATAATATATGGAGATGGCCATATGCACTCTGTCTTGTTCCAATCAATTGTTTTCATAAGGCTAGTATTTTAGGGTCTCTAAGAATTGAGCAAAATTAGGAGAGGGCATTTATTTGCTGATGTCTCCCATATTTTCCTTCTTAAATATTTCAGTTCCAATTAAGGATAGCTAATTAAAAAATCTTGTATTAAATGGCTAACAATACCAAAATGGTATTTCATACTTGCCAGTAAGTTTCTTTCCCTGGCTATTTATCATGGCAGCATCACTTATGGGTAGCTTCACACTCAGGCGGATCAGGATAGGGAACCATTAACTATGAACTCTACAAGTATTGTAAAGCGCTACGGAATCTGTTGGCGCTATATAAATGGCCATAATGTTTCAATGCCCTCCTTCCAAACTTCAGTCCAATTGAAAAGCTCAGATAACACCCAGGGCGGATACCTGGTTCTGTCATGATAAATATCCAGGAAGAATACTTAAAGCAAAACTCATTATATAATCCAAGTCTTGTTGTCTGACTGAGGACAGACTGTTTGTAAGGAGGAGGGACCTTTTGATGCCTACCGCCTAGTTGTTAAATTGTTTCCTGATCTGGGTGAGGGTGGAGCAATGCATAAGTAATGCTGCTGTTCTTGGCCAAGATATCACGATTAAAGGACATCTGGTATGATTAAAAGGTTACTCCATAATAAACTTCTCATTACAAAATCACTGACATGACTAATGGGTAATGCCCATTAGGTTAAGGAAAGTTGGGGGAGCACAATAAATAGTGAGTTGGAAACGGTCTTCCCCTTGCAGGTGCTCTGACTGTAAAGGCAAGACTTAAATCTGTCAGCACAACACACTGGTGACAGATGTTTTGTTTTTCATGCATTGAACTGACTTTCAGCAGTCCAGAGTGCAACTAGCCCCAGCACATAAGAACTTTGCATGTGCAATGTTTCAGTGCCCTAATGTAGCGTCCTTTGTAATAACTGGATCTGAATGCCAGAAGAGACTTTGCAAATGGGAGATGGCTGTAATACCTCTCCACCATGGTATTGACCATCAATGTGGTGTTTTTAGCCAAGTGTTCCTACAGGCTGTCAGACATGTAATCCAGTGATGTGAGTCTATATGGTCTTTTGTGGGTAAATGGCATCAAAATAGTCTTCTGACTTCAGAAGTTTCTCTTGTGCAGTTTGAAGATAAATCTGGAACAGTGGTTTGATAGTTGTCAAATTCTTCATGGGTCTTGGGCCTAGAATGTCTTGCATGAAATCCAGGATCTAGCTAATAACTTTTCTGTGCATGTTCAAATATAGAAAGATGACCTCATAAATGTCTTTGTCCTAAAACTGTGTCAAATATCTGACTTCTGCAGACTACCTTCACCTCCAGCACAGATGTGGCTGTACCAGGTGGGCATTCAATACGTATGGTGGCATCTGTGACAAAGGGAGACATGGATGTGCCTTACTGTGCCAAGATCCGCACCTTGTTTGGTTATGAGACCACCATCCAGGGAACATGGAAAGGGGTAACTTACTATAATCTGATGGTTAGCCAGGAAGACTACAAACCATGAGATGGATATGACTTCTAATGCTGCCATGGGATCCTCCAGCATGGAAACTGATCCAGGCATGATGGCAACCGTTTTGTGCATGGTATAATGTGAACGTCTATCTGATGTCATCTTTTGGTTAATAAAATGTGTTCTCGAATCCTCAGTCTGTCTCTAACTTTAAAATGCTTGTCTATATGGAATCTACCACATTCTGGCTATTCCCTTGGGAGGGAAGCAAAGCTGGAAGGTAAAGTCCCTTTTTGGGTGCACTGAATAGTTAACGTTAAGTGCATGGCTGGGAGCTAGGTTCAGGATATAGAAGGGTGTGTCTTACAGTTTTTACTACCATAACCTGCTCAGCAACAACTCTAGGCTTTGCTGGAGTATATAATCACACTGCCTCCTTGGCATAGAAAGCATGCTTGCTGCCCTGAGGGTTAAGGTACTGCATGATGAGGGCAGGTACAGATGGTGCACTTGCAGACTTCCACTGCAGCGATGCTACCTACAACAGCATCTGCTGCATTCCACAGCACCTCCCTCCTGGTGGGAGGCTTCCTCTCATCAGGTTCTTTCAGGATCCTTTCACTGCAGATTTCCAGGCCTTGCCTGCTGTCTTCAGTCCTGCATATCCAGCACATTTGATCCGATTCTGCTCTCCTGTCCTCCAGGGCCCTCTGCTATGCATATACAACATCAAATCACTTGCAAGCTGCACAGGGGTACTTGGGCAGCCTACTTGGGACCATGCATACATTATCTTCCACATGGGGCAGCCTATAATGTGCTGTGTGGGCTGGCATTTAAAGCGGGAAATGAAGGGCAAGATTTTAAACATCAGGTTTTAGAAATATTTTTTGCCTCCTTCCCATGAATAACTTGGCATCCCTGAGGAGGGTAAGGAGTCTGGTTCAGGAAGATCCCTACGATGTCTGGGTGTTGGCTCTGGACTTTGTGATACTGGTGAGCATTAGTGGGGAAGTTACTTCAGCAAATGCTCAGCTCTCATCAGTTAACGGGACCTCATGTAGTGGGGTTTAAGCTGATGGCAGTATGACAAGTAATTATGCCAAAGGATTGCTGGCCGTCCATGGGTTGTCACCAGATGACTGTTTTCCTTTTGGTTAGCCATTATGACTCTTCCCATGTCACGCCAGGAAGATTAAATTCAGAGTCACATTCAAACACTAGTGCTTGGAGTGTGGTATCTCTCAAACCATATCCTGGTGGGCCAGGAAAGGGAAATGTGGATGCCTGGCTAAGCATTATAGGAACAGAAGGGTGGCTACTTGTAGTCCTGGTTTTGCAGGAATTTTTTTTTATTTATTTTTTTGACGGCACACAGTGTGCATAGTGGCTGTAACGGATCACCTGGCACCCCAACTGGGTATCTTCGTTGAAGGATGCTCCAAGCACTCTAGCAGACACCACAACCCCCGAACCGTAGAAGCATATGAATGCTGTAAGCAGCTGAACAGGAAAAGAATACAATCAGCTTACCCTCCTGGCAATCGGCATACAAGCCAATTTCCACAATAAAGAGATGACACTTCGTTTTGAGGTCAAGCAGAACTGACTGTACTGGCACATACAGCCTCTTTTATTCACAAACCTAGTACTGCCCACAGGGTTTTGAAATACAACCAATCAATCTGCACAATACACAGACACTCCTACACAAAATCATCCCCTCTGCCTGTGAAATGATTACTCAACACAATGGTTAATCTGATTATCACAGGCATAGAAATACAGTATCATAAAACACATCACAGGGACCCTAAAACATGCAATAACCCCATAAATATCCTCGGAACCGGGGGATCTGGGTGAACCACATATCCAAAATTCACCCAGATCCGTTCAGTAGTTTGGAAGATACAGTTTAATTCAGATTCCGTAGAACATATACAGGCTATATGAAAACTAATTACTGTATAATGTGTCCCCTGTTCAATAGTTTAAAACTACTGCAAGATGTCTTCATGCACCAAATACTGGCGAGATGGCACCGTGTAGAAAAGTCCAAACAGTGTCTGAGTTAAAATGGCCACCATCCATTGTTCTCACCATGTGCCTCTGATACATGAAATGGTGGCCACCCAGTAACTCCACAGTATGTCCCCAGAAGGTTCTTAAAGGGCCAGCAGCAGCATAATAAAATACAATATGCCCAAATACTGTATTTAAAGGGCCAAATCTCCCAGAGGCCATAGTCAGCAGGTAGGAGGCGGGCAAACAGGCTTCTCCAATGCCCAGTGGCAAGGTTGGTTTCGCCACAGTGGATATCACCAAGGGTAAGGCGATGGGGAGGGGTATCACCCTGGAATTGTGTTAATTTATGGATTGTTATTTATTGGCAATGACACATTATGTATTATATACAGTAACAAGTTAAATTATTGGTGAATGCTGTGGCCTATCTTCACCATATATATATACACGTCTTGTGTCCCTAATTGGGAAGGGTTCTGGCTTGGGGGTTAATTTGGTACGTGGCCCTTACTACCTTCACCCATGGTACTGGGTGGAATAATCTACAGCAGCTGACTGCAAACCTACTATACTATCCATTCTGTAAAATCGTGGTAGGAAGAATGGCCCAGGAAACACAGCAAGTGTGATAATATTAAGCCAAACACCAACTAATAGTACAAAAATCCATGCCCTGCAAGTTTAATTGATTCTTCCTGCACTAACTTGTACAATGTCTGGTCGGTCATTAAGTGTCCCAGGACATGCCAAGAACACCCAAACTATCACTGTGTATCCCTTCTCAACCCTGCTATTTAGTAAACCGTTGTATTCATTCTATACCACCCAACTATGGTGATAAATGGACAGGTTTGCCATCTTCACTTACACCATGACATTCTCACTGTGGCAAACTATAGAAATGTTTTCTGATTTGTATTTGAACAAAAGATTCATCAATGGATAGTTATGTCTTCTTGGCGCCTGACTGACTAAACCCAATGGACTCACTAAAATGTTTGAAATGTGGGGACGAGGCAGGCTTATTTCATTGTCTTTGGAATTGTTCTAAGATAAGGGAATTTTGGAAAGAAATGTTGCTGAAGTTGTACCTTTTCTTTTTTTTTCCTCTCTTTTCCTTTTGAAAGGTTATCGAGGTAAATATGAGGTAACTGATGGCGACTCCAAAATAGGAGTTTGCAGAGTGTTTTGAATAGTGGAATACCTATTGGGAGAACTGTGTAAGGTCATAATGTGCCTATTTTGAAGGGGACTAATGCATTGTCTGGTGAACCATGTGTCTTGGATCTTCAATAAATGTCTATTTCATATAGGATGCAACCAGGCCAGGGCTTAGCACAATCCCACAAGGTTAGATTCACAAAATCAGAGCTGGCCAGGCAGTGACATATTAAGAATGGGGGCCAGTCTGCCCTGGGTGATAATAGGTGGCATACCTTTGGGCCAGTGCACAAATTCCTATGGCACAATGGTTGGATGGCCAATTTGGGGGGGGAGAGGGGGAGAGCTCCCCTCATGCTTGTCACTGAATGTGGTTTGGTGGACACATGAAGGGGTTGAGAGAAAAAAGAGGCCAGCCAGTCACACCAGTCTGTCAGACACAGCTACGGCCAGCCGCACCTTTCTGCAACAGCAGCCATCCTGCTTGTCTGCCAGCCAGCAACCGTAATTAAGGTGAGAATAGCTAACTTGGGCTGTGTTTCAGAGATGATATATTTCTATATTGTGAATGGGGGCCGGCATGTTATAGAGACCCCCTATCCAGGGCCACCCAAATACATTATCTTTCCCAGGAGCCAAATGCTCTAGGTACGCCAGGTCCAGGCACTCCAAATCTCAGCAAGCCAAATTTCTTGCAACAAAGTTTTCAGCAACATTTTCATCCTACAATAGGTCTTTGTCAAGTTGACACCCAACGTAAAATACAACCAATTTATAGCAATACAATTATAGTGAAGTGACATACATTATAAAATCGATTAACAAAATTGACATAAATCTAAACTATATTTTTATAGAGGCAACCATAATCATGGGGTGTATACAAGGAAAAATCTTATTAATTATAAAAACACCTGTAGCTGGTCCTGGGTAACCCGGCTGGTTACCCTCGCTAGTAAGGGAGAACAAGACCCATTTTTCCCTTCAGATTAGAGGCAGTACTTTACAACAGGGATTTCTAATCTGAAGGGAAAAAACAGGCAGGCAATCCCAAAACTTTTTTAAAATACCTCCCCCAATTACATTTTGCACTACAAATTGCCACTTATCCCAAGTTCTTTGCCTGCCTTCTGCAGAGGAGGGTGGCAGTTTTTTTTCCCCAGGAGTAAGGTAAGAGGGCTGAGGCTCGGGAGGCTCTGCTTAATTTTTTCGGAAGATCTGCCAGGGGTAAGCACGGCGGATGCCTGCATCTCCACTGTTTTTATTTTATTCCGTCTATACCTTGCCCGGTGCGCTAGCTGGGAGGTCCTGGAGGAGGAACGCACGTACAGACTGCGATGCGTTCCACCGTGGAATCGCGGCGTGCATTTCGAATGGGATTTCAAAATTCAGGTGCCAAAATTTAAAGGGTTTTTTTATTATTTTGGTTTCCAGGATTTAGAGAGGCTATTTAACCAGCAGCAACTAACGGTTTGCCAGGTGCACTCAGAATCTGGTGCAAGAGTGTTATCACCTGCCCTCCAACACACTTTGAGGCCATTTAAGGTAAGACTTTTTGCTTTTATTTTAAGTGAGTCTAGCCTGAATTGTAGAGTTTTATATTTTGTTCAGCTTTTCTCTCTTTTTTCCTTCAGTATGTCTAATCCTGAGACTGCAGAGAGAGCTTCAGAGAGAGGGAAATGTTATGCGAAATCAAAACATTTAAACAGCGCTGCATGTTCCCAACCCATGCCAGATGGATATAAGCGCAAAATCTGTTCCATTTGTACTAAAGAGGCTTCTGAGGAAGCAAATAAATCAAAAATGACTACTTTCTTGGTTGGTTCCAGCAAGTTGGTTCCAGCAATGTCTGCAACAAACAT